GATCACATGACAATTACCGACAATTTTTCACTGACAGACTATGTTCTCCCTCAGCCTCACACCACGAGCCACCGTGAACCCACCACCTCGCTCATTGTTCCAGTCACAGCCACACAAGACCATCGTCCCTAACCCCTCCATCTCCAGTCAGGTGACCTCCTCCCCTTCAATATCCGACATCAACCCCACCACCTACATCCTTTTTCGCTAGTCAATCCCCACCACCCACATCCTTCTCCAATGAAACCAACGATTCCGATGAAGCCCATTTTCTTCTGCATAACAACCGGTTTCGACGAAAAATGACCCTTATACAAACCATCGACCGAACACCTTAACCTCCGCACTCCTTCCCTTCTCTGTGAACCACCATCCTCCCTACACAACCACCACCACCCTCCACCAACATGGACCCAAATCTAGAGTTTACTCTGGTATGTGTGCTTTGATAAACAAAAGTGGTGGTTACGTGGGGGTAAGTTAAGGCGAACGAAGGGGAAGGGTTCGATAGAAGCTTGGAGAATTGGAAAAAGAAGATAATATAATACTTCTTTGTCCCCCTAAGTTTTTAGTCAACACATTTGGTCCCTCTTTCAAAATAAGAGTTAATTAAAAAATGTTTAAGTTTTAGGAAAATTAAAAAGACGATTTTGCCCTCAAAGTTAACAAAGGATGGTCATTTAATCCTAAGATCAGATCCAACAGAAAGTGCATACCACAAGGACTAAATCCGTAATAATTTAAGTCTAGGGGCCCATTTTCATAACAATATACATACCACATAGACCAAATCCATAATTACTCAAATTACTAAAAAAGATATTCCTCTAAAAAGTTTACAGTATTCATAGCATTTTTTTCATAAAAACAAATGTTCTACTGTTATTGTGAAGGTGAAGTTTATCTGTCTTATTTTCATAAACTCAGACTTTGGATAGGGGATATTGTTTATTATTTATAGCATCTTTTAACTTAAAAATAAGTTAATAGAATAAAGTGAAATAAAGAATAGTATGATGAAAACCATATTTCTATTTGCAAATTTTATGAGAATTATCATGAATAAAGGCACTGTTTGTTTTTTTTGAATTTTTTTGTTATTTGATTAAAACCTTGAAAGAAAGAAATACAAATCCATGTTGAAACAGAATATTTTAATAACCAATATGACTGATTAAGATTTCAAACTTCAGACGTAAAAACAAACAGTCTGACTAATTCAGATTTCAGACTTCAACACCACCTCTTAAAAATCAGACTTCAAACCTCAGCACCTCATAAAAACCAAACGCCACCAAAATGTATTAAAATTAAATGAAGTTTGTTTTAATCGCTGTATTACTATATATAAAAAATCCGATCAATTTAAGAAAGGATTTTCTTTCAAACTTGGCCTATTACGATTTTTGATTATGGTGATGTCAAGTTTATCGTCCCATTTGTTAACATATTCCTTTCATAAACATTTTTAAAGCTTTCGTAAACAGATATCCACGTCATTAAATGTCAAAAAGGAGCAAATTAACATTCAGAATATGTACAAATTAGAAATTTTTAGAACTATCTTGTTGATTGAGAAGAAATTGTTACGTTCAATATAAAATAAACCGAACTTTGTTATTTTCTAATAAATTTTACGCTACCGTAAACTATATCTTTTTTCTCTCTGTTATTATAATGGAGTTATTGGAAACCGTTCTTATAGTTCATTAATTTACATTTTCAGTTATTACATTTTTATAGGTTCAACGTCTGCATAATATGTCGTTAACTTTTGTTCTTTACGTGAAAACTCTCGTATGCATGGACTAGGTTTGTGAAAGTCATAACTTTTCACTTGTAACTCGAATCAAAAATGATTTTTTCAAAGTTAGGGGTTGTTTACAAAACACTTACCAGTAAGTGTTTACCAGTAAAATTTAACACTATTATTTACTTACCGGGTAAGATTTTAGTCCACCAAAAAGACATTGTATGTAACAATTTACCTGGTAAGCGCTTAACGTGGTAAGAGTCGTCGCCCTCACTTACCGGGTAAGACTATTGGTCTCTGTCTTGCTCTTACCGGGTAAGATTCTTGGTCCTTACTATATTTATCCGGTGAGGTAATGTGACTTGGTAAGCGCTTACTCAGGTAAGCGTTTGATAAACGGCCCCTTACTCTTTATTCAAATTTTACATGCTAGAAAAGTATAGTGATTTATGAGCAAACATCAAAGCGTTATCGTGTTTTTCAAGTACATGCATACATGAGTCATATTAAAAAAACACGATAACTCATCTACTTTTAGGGCCGTTTACTAAACACTTACCGGTAAAAATTAACACCATCATTTACTTACCGGATAATATTTTAGTCAACCAAAAAGGCATCGTATACAACAATTTACCCGGTAAACACTTACCGTGGTAAGAGTCGTCGCTCTCACTTACCGGGTAAGATTATTGGTTCTTGTCTCGCTATTACCGGGTAAGATGTTCGGTCTTTACCATATTCATCAGGTAATGTAATGTGATTTGGTAAACGCTTACCAGGGTAAGCGTTTGGTAAACGGTCTCTTACTTGATAAATTACAACATGTAAATATCAAAATAATAATAATAATAATAATAATAATAACGTAAAACAATATTCTAATTCAACTAAAATATTTATTACTATTATCATTATACTAGAAGGGTACTCGTGCAATGCATCGAGACACATTTTCATTTAAATGTTTCGTTTTATTTTTTTTTATCCATGTCGATATAAATACGATTTTATGTGGTTTTGAGAAAACGATAATGTTTTTATTTTTAAATAAAATATAAATTTGAAAATATCATATAAAATTTGCAAAAAATATATCAATATTAGTATCAAATTAACTATTTAAAAGTTATTGTTTGTATATTTTTTTAATTGAAAATTTCTATTATAAAGATGGTATTTAAGTATTCTGTTAAAACTCAATAATTATCCTAATTATATTTTAGATTTTTTAGATTTTAAAATGAGATGTTTATCATATATTTGATTATGTTTATCCATACTTAGTTACAAGAATTCAAACATAGAGTTTTAATAAGTTCTACTCATGCACAATTACTTGTAATTTTGAAGTTTTAAGTAATATGCATCAATAAATTGTATTTCATGCATAAAAAATAATTTTTAAGAGTTTTTATCAAATGTTTTAAAATATAGTATAGATATACAAACTGAGTTTTCATTTAATAAGCAAAAATCACAAAATTGGAACCTGTATAAAAGTAAACGATAAGAATTTAAAAAATTAAGAATCAGAATTGTAATTTCTAATTTATAATTAAGAATATTTAAATTAAGGCCTTACTCCGAAGTCCGAACATGAAAATGACTGATTTTACAATCCACATTTTAGGACGAGGAATCTTTGATTACTTTTGGCATAAATAATAACATACAAATAATATTATAAAAATATAGGGAAAGTTGAACTTAATATTTTTTATTTTGTATGATTAAATGTATGAACTATTTTTTAATAAAAAACCATTAAATTTTCTTATCTTGAATAATTAAGTCTTTGATTTTTTTTAATAAATAAACCATGAAATTTTTAAAAATTGGTTACCTACATTCTTTTAATAAAGAAACTACTTCTAACCGACTAAAAAAAATCTTAAAGTAAAAAATAAATCTAAATCAGGGATTTAATTATTAAAAATGAGAAAGTTAATTTTTTTCATTCAAAAAGTTAGAGAGAGAGAGAGGGGGAGGGGGGGAGAATTTCTTACAAGATTAGTTTTCAATTAAGAGAAATTAAAATCGCGTGTAAATCACATGTGATTCATGCGATTTTGACTGCGAACTAAGGTCACAGGCACGTCGCCGAACACACCTTTACCTTGACCATTAGTGTAAGATCAAATGTGATTTAGCGGTTTCCATATTGTCTTATTTAGTTATAGTTTTTGTTTGAATTTCCATCTCTTTCTCTCCCCGTCCTCTCTCTCTCTCTCTCTCTCTATATATATATATATATATATATATATGCTATGATTTAGATATTTATGAAAGATTATCAGAGCTTATTTATTATATCAGAACTTTATATTTAGAAAATAATTAAGATATTCACTGAATCATGTATTTATTATACTAGATGAATGATTGAGATTAGTTTGTATAGTTTGTACGAATGGTTGGATTTGTAAATGAAACCACCTCTATGTATAGGAGAATTCTTTTATAAACCCAACTATTAATGCAAACCAATTAATTGAAATATTTATAGAAATAATGAGATTTTACTAATTATAACTTGAATGTTTATGAAAGATTATCCAAAACTTTATATCATAAAAGAATTAAGATATTCATTAAATAAGATATTTATTAGACTAGATTAATGATTGAACAATTAAGATTGATTTATATGATTTTTACTGATAGTTATGTTTATAAATAAAACTATCTCCCTCTCTCTGGATATAAAAGAATAATTAAATGACAACCACTAACAATGTTTCAAATAAATGTCAAATGTGAATCTACCTCAACTTTATTGCATTTGAATCTTTCCAAGATATATAGCCGAGAATAATCAAATAAGAGAACAATAGAACGATTTATATCACATGTGATTTTATATTACACGTGATTTGTAAAATCATATGTGATTACCCACGACCTGGGTTGTGAGGCAAGTCACCCACACTCCCTTGTGTTTCGTAATCGTATGTAATTCACATGTGAATCGGCCGTTCATGTGTTCTCTATTTTGACTTAGCTCTCGTTTGATCCTTTCTATATGTATATAACACTAAACATGGTTAAAAGGTGCGAAGAGAACGTGGATGACGTGCTTGGTGCAGTTTTGGTGATCGGACAGTCATTAGATTTGAAGTCATCTTACCAATTTCATAGATGATCTGATTCAAAACTTATATAATTTATATTAAAAATACATTTTATATAAAGTTCTGTAACGTAAACTAATCAAATATGTTATATATAACTGTGTCTACCGATCAATAACAAATTGCATTTCATTAGAAGGCAATTGCATTATTACATCAGTACTAAAATGACATTTCAACTGCATTTTAACCAACTACAACAAAACTAAATCCCCCTTCCATTTTCGCAAACTATAATTTTGACTTAAGATCATTATCATTCACTACAAACCCACCCAACTAATTTGTTCTTTCGCTAAAGAAAGTTGATGTACATACCTCTTAGCATAACCAGGATGCTTCATTGTCAATGTTCCATCAGACTTGACAGCACCCGACTTTCTTGCTCCATAGCCTGTGATAGAACACATCAAAGAGGACCTTTTAATGATACGAGTTTCGCAATACCAACAAGATTGAACTAAAAACCAAAGGGTCATTGGCCCAGCCATTCTTGGGTTACCAGAAGAGCCCAACCTCCAAAGAGGGCGAGGGTTCTAACCTCACTAAAAGTGAGGAGGGTGCGTGAGTATTTTCCAAATATAAATATTATATACTTCCACAGATTGAGCTAAAATAAGCCAATAAACTATAGGAAGTACCATCGCATGTAGAATCATGATTTTCTGTAAAATTCACTTGACGAATGTAACTTATCCATCATGAGAAGCCACCAACGATCTTTCCTGCTTAGGGAAGAAACATATTCAGTAAGCCGGTTTCCAGGAAGATATTGCATATAAAATGCGTCCTTTCCACCCCTGCAACGTCCAGTGACCATCTTCATCGATCATAAAATCTTTGTGATAACCGGACCTTGCTCTATCTTTAGCCATCTTCAAAATTTCCTCATCAAAAGGGATCTGGCGAAATCCAGCCCTCTGATTCCGGACCTGCCACTGTTTGTATGTCTCAGGTCGCTCAATCCTCTCACCGCCTTCACAAGCTATAACATTCATGGCTTCTCGTCCCCACAATGTTTTCTCAATCAGCATCCTCTCCTGAGTGTCACTAGCCACAGTAGCCTCAAGCAGATCAAACAAAGAAGAGAAGAAAAACAAAGCCTCTCTGAACCTTGTGACAAAGAAGGGTGAATTATAGGACCCATTAACAACCCCCTGTATAAAGATTTCTGGATTCATCTTCCTGATAAGGTCTAGAACTTCATTCCTTGGACTATGCACCATGACTGTCTCGTCAAGTAAGTTTCTAAACCTGTAAGCACAATTCACAACCAGTGTTTCATTATTGTCAAGCTCAAGATCCGCCATCTTGATAGTTTCCCACTTTTGGGCAATGGCTTTGAACTTGAATGGAACACCAAATGTTTCTGCATAATTAGCTAGCCGACAACCTGTCTCCTCAACCCTCTGGGATGGACGAAAACCAGGACAGGGGAAGTCAATCCCAGTGATTCGAAGTTCAGGTGGACCACCAGGCCTAGTTGAAAGACGTTGTATGAGGCAAGGCCATTGAAAACCGTAAAGAATTCCAAAATCTATTATGTGGAGCCTCTTCTTGTTTTGAGCGGCACGCATGATAGTCTTATTCGAAACAAAATGGGAGAGCTTAGTGAAAGGGAAGATACCAAGGAATAAATGGTAAGCTTTCAATACATCAACAGCTGATGTAGGCCTGGAAAGGAGAGCTTTGTAGATTACGGTTCCAGAGCCAGCCATTCGTGCTTCAAGACCAGCACAAAAGTAATGGGCCAATCTTTGCATTCCATCACCTGTGGGTGAAGCATGCTCTCTTATCCGCTTTAGCAGATCGGTTACTCCCCTTTGGTCATTGGCTGCAACAGATTGTGCACAGAGGCTTAAAAGTATTCTCAAATCCACCGCATCCTTTTTACCACCTTGATTCTTCCCACGGGCTTTAACACCATTAGATCCCTTGGGTTGACCCTTTTGTTGTACATTAGTGACACCATTGCGGACAAATTCACATTGAGCAGAATTAGTTTTGCCTTCATCACATAGCAGCACTTCATCAAACATCTTAGACCTTACATGTGGCTCGATATAAACTGCAGATTGCTTGGAACTCCTTCCATCCTCAAGAAGATCTTTGGAATGACGAATCTTCTTTCCTCTTGATCCATCTGGGATGGAACTAATTTTATGTTCCTTCTCCACTTTGACTACAACAGCATAACTGTCATCCTTTTGATCCTTCCCTAACAAGACACCAGTGTCCATATAATCTAAGATCCCATCATCACTGGGAAGGAACCTACTTGCATCTCCCAAACCTTTTTGAAACTGCACAGTAGATCGGCCATCACAGAACATATCCGGAAAACTTAAAGTACTTACAGGTGAATCCACAAACACATCTACGACACTACTAGTGCTGCTTAACGAGCTGTAAGAGGGCTGAAATCTAGACTGTGAATCAAAATTGATCAAAGCACTGGGTAAAAGAGAAGAACCACTAACATCAAATCTAAAATCTGTACCACCAATAGAGCTGTTGCCACCAAAACAAGTGAGGGATTCTGCTACAGCATCTTTACTTTTAGTGCTGTTAAAGGGAACTGTAAGATGAGAAGCATTGGAAGGACGTTCTTTTACCATAAGAGCATCATAAAAAGATTTCTCTGCAGCATGAAGAGCAGCAGACTCTTGAAGCATGCAGCTCTTCTCCTCTATATCTTCTTCCATAAGCATCTGGTTTATGTACTTGAGAACTAAATCACTAAAATCTGAATCCTCATGAAGATCTCCTTCATCTTTCAAGGCAGATGGAGAACTACGCTTGCTAGGGCCTGAATCAAGCAACCTTGTAGGACGATGCATAGAATTCAAATCTATAAATGAGTCGTTGAGATTGATTGCGTTCAGAAAATTCTGATCCGATAGAATTGAAGCAGATTCGTTGCATTTCATTGCTTTTAAATTCAATAAACCGTAATCCGCATTCACCCGCCCATCCATGAACATCTAAATTCCACAGAACAAATCTTTTTATCAATTCAAACTCATATCAACTAAACTCTTGGACAGAAAACAATTTTTAAAAACTTTAAAAAAACAAAAATATTATCCCAAAGATTTACTTGTGGTTTTGTTTGTGTACAGGATCAAAAATCACTTATCCAACAGTTTTTAACATCAAGATGAAAATAGAACAATTAGATTTCAGTAAAGTGAATTAAGGACAACTGAAGAGATGCGGAGTGAGTCTCCATGATTAAAATCAGTGAATAAAGGGAATCAAACAAACATGAAAACCCTAAAGCAATAGTAGATGTAAGGATGAACAGATATACATATAGATAGATACAGAAAACAGAAAGGTAGGTGTTGGTCGTAAGAAGATTTACCAGAGACAAACCCTAGAGAGAGAGAGAGAGAGGAAAATGGAGGTTTGACTATTTACAATCAACAGAGGAGAGGAAACTTCAAAACTATTAACAGAGAGTCAGGGGGTTTCAAATAAAAACAGAGAGAAGAATTCGAGAACCTAGTAATCAGAGGGTATTCTGGACAATTTCTCGACCCAAAATATAATTTTAATAACAAATCATTTTAAAAAGTAGAATAAATTCTCTTATTATTTTTAATTCTAGAAAAACTCGTATGGAAAAACGATGGTTTTAATTCCATAATTTTATTTTTATATTTCTGTCTGGTTTTTAAATTCATCTTGCTAGATATTCACACGTGAATACGTTGAATTTAAATCTTAATATTAATACAATTACAAATAAATATGTTAAAAGGTGGTTACATTTAAAAAAAATTATTGATAAAATTTATTTTAATTGAAGATAAAAAAATATTTAAAAAATATACTCGTATATGATTTCTTAAATTAAAAAAGATTTAAAGGATTACTGATGACATTTTATTTAATTAAAAATAAAATATATTACGTTGATGATTTTTCATATTAAAAAAACAGAAAATAATTTGAATAATTAAATACATAATTAATTAAAATTCGTCACTAGTGTTCATACCAATATATGCATGGATTACTTATATCTAATTGATGGCTAACTTGACCATCATCAGACGCTCTAACACTGTAACATGTTAATAAGTGTAAAAGATCGTGCTTGAATCTTGTTGGTGATATCATTTCACATATGGATTAGCAACGAATTTTAATTAATTATGTATTTAATTAAATTTTATCGTTAACTCATCAGTAATTTGAAAAATCGTCAATGAAATATATTTTATTTTTGATTAAAATAAATTTCATCAGTAATTCTTTTTATTTTTTAATTTTATTTTTTTAATTTGAAAAATCATGAAATATATTTTATTTTTAATTAAAATAAATTTAGTAAGTAGTCCTTTTTTTTAAATTATTTTTTATTTTTTTAATTTGAAAAATTACTGAAAGAATATTTTTTATTTTCAATCAAAATAAATTTCATTAATAATTTTTTTAACTGTAAGTATTCTTTWGTAAATGTAAGTACATTTTTGGTATATTTGTTTCATTTTATATTATAAGTACTTTTTGGTTAAAAAAAATGTTTGAGGATTTATCGCTCAAAATATGAAAGTCTATTGACTTTTTTCCAGTTTTTTCGCATTATTTTACCACATTAACAAATTGTATAGGTCATAAGGATGTATCTAACAGATTTTAAAAAGTCCAATAAGTTATTTAACAGCTTTTGGAATGTACAAGGACTTATTTGTTCCAAAAAATTGTCCAAGAACTTAATTATTTCAAACACTAAAGTATATATATATATATATATATATATATATATAATTTACTTATTTAAATCAAAACTTTAGGGGGAGCTGTTGCACCTCCTGGTGCCTTGGTGGCTCCATCACTGGTGAAGTTGTCCTACATCATAAGAAAGATAATAAAAAAAAAAAATGAAAAGATGTTATAAAAAAATTCAGGTGATTTAAGTTTGTAATCTTGTCATTTTGATGATGAAATTTGTGGTGCATTCTTGAGTTTTATAAAGTTTAACAGAATACTTTTAAGTTTTATAATTTATAAGAAAAGACTTTAAATTTTCATAAATTTCAACGAATAAGCTTGGTTCAAGAAGGACACTTGATTCAAGTTTTGAAAAAGAATTTCTTAAAAGTTATTCAAACATTCACACCAAAAGAACAAATTTTGTAATAAACCAACATATTTTGCTAACCATTCTTGACTTGTAGTTTTGGTCAAAGTGACTTGTAGTTTTGGTCAAAGGGACATTTAAAATAAAAATACTACATGGAATCAGTGTATAAACTTATTTCGTTGGTTTGAGATTAGTTCGAGCTTCAAATGAGTTGAAGCTTGAGTTCTAGTTTAAAAAAATTGTAACCGAGTTCAAGTTGAGTTTAGTTCTTAACAACTCTCAAATTTTCGAGTCAAGTTCGGACTTGGAAAATGACTATCAAGTTTGAGTCGATTATATCAATACTCGAGCTCGAACTCGCATCATTTACGTCCCTATACCAAATCTAAAAATTATATGAAAAAGATATAAGTTGGATTAGAACTTGAAATAAGAACAAGTCGGATATATTTAAATTAGGAACGATAATATTTTGGCCATCACAAAACCATCAAGCATATGTTCATTAATGGAATATTTAATTGATATCTAATTTAATCAAAACAAATTAATGATTACTAGAAGGCTACTCGCAAAATGCAAAGAGATATATCTAGATTTTAATTTTTTATTTTATTCATTTTTTGTCGATAGAATACAGTTTTACGTGGTTTTAGAAAACGATAATATTTTTATTTTTAAACAAAGTATAAATTTGAAAAAAAAGTATCGATAGTAGTATTCTGTTAAAACTCAATGATTATCCTAATTATATTTTAATTTTTTATATTGAAAATGAGATGTTTATCCTATATTTGATTATGTTTATCTGCCGTTAGTTACACAAATTCAAAAATAAAGTTTTAATAAGTTATATTTACGCACAATTTACTTGTACTATTGAATTTTAAATAATGTGCATCAATAAACAGTACTTTATGCATAAAAAAATTGTTTTTAAAATTTTTGTCAAATACTTTATAATATAGCATAGATAATTGACAATTTTTGTTTGTAGATGTGGCTTCCGATCTTTTAGTCAACATGTGTTTATCATCATATATATATATATATATATATATATATATATATATGAACCAAATAAAAAAAATTCGAAGGACACGATTGGTTTATAGAAATTGAATTTGGTGGAATTGAAATCTATCAAAGGAATTTGACTTTGAAGGAATTGTAATGGAATTTGACCATGCTTTGATTCGATGGAAAGAGACAGACTTCAATTCATTCACTTATGTCAATGAATGATAATTCTTTAATTTGTGGAATTCAATAAAATTCAAAGGATTCCTACATTTTCATTATGTGAACCAAATATAGGATTTAAAATTTGGTCAAAGAATCATCCATTCCAATTTCAATTCCTTCAAAAACATGAACCAAATACCCCTAAAGTTTCGACTTAGATCAAGTACCCACTTTCTCAGTTATAATTATTTGACGAAGATAAAAATAAATAATTCTTTTAATAAACATCACCTTTTAGTAATAAACAAGGGATGAATACATGAAAGTTAAGTAATGGTGATTGTTAACTTGTTACTATAGAAGCATATACTTAATAACTAGCAATAAAACTTGAGCCTTCACGTCTCCTCCTCACACGTCACTATTTCGAGTCCACCATGATTTTCCTCCCAAGGCCTCGGGTTCTTCAAGATGCATGCAATTGACAATCTGATCCGGACACTCACAGTTATAAATAATAATAATAATTAATAATTCCAAAATAGGCAAGGATCAAAGTACAGTAAGAAAAGGTTGAATCATGATGTATGTACCAAAATGACATTAGAAAATTTACAAACTGCAGAATGGGCAATCTTATGGTTTTGTTAGAATGCCATTATTATTATGATTATTATTACAAATCCCAAATAATTTACACCTTCCTGAAAAAAAGAGAAGAGAGCCAAATGAATCAAGATTACTAAATACATATTACATCAACAATTTTTTTTTTTTACCTACATTTTCTTCCTAATTAAACTTTCTTTACATCAAGCTCTTCTGATGCTTCCCCTGTTGTTGCTTAGATTGATGCTGCGACCAGTACGCATGTGCAGCCAGGACTCGGTCCAGAAGATCTTGGGGCACAGGCTCTCCCCTTCTTTGCTGAGGGGCGATGCTCGCCGTGTGAACCAATGTTTTCCATTTATCCTGTTTGTAAATCAAAATGCATTAGCTTTTCTGCATTTTTTTATATTCATTGGTTATATTAGCATTCTGAGAGAAAGAATAGAATCAGGGTCCCATTTAATTGAGATCAACCCCTGAGAAGCAGAACAGAGGTAGATCATATAATAAACTAATTTCAAAGCCTGCAACTTTTCAAGAAAGTTACTGTGAGAATGTGGAACCCATAAGAACCCTTGAGGAAAGGAGGGTTCTAGTATATATGGAAAGAAATGTTCCAACTCTAGCCTATGTGGGACTCTTAATACGCTCCCTCGAACGATGGCTAGACGGGCAAAAATTGTCTCAAAGTATTGAGAGGGGACTGTACGAGTACACAGATTGCTCCAGAGTGTCGAAAAGTCTAGACCTTGGCTCTGATACCATGTGAGAATACATGGAACCTCCATATTACAATCAAAAAGAGCCTTTGAGAAGGGTACAGGAGGTTCCAACATATATTGAAGAGAAATGGTCCAAGTCTAGCCGATGTGGTACTTAACAATTACACATTGTATGAATATAATGGCTCTTTGAAGGGTAGCGGTCTAGTAATCTGTGTGTACCATGGAGGTGAAAACAAAATGTGGATCCTTTACCTTCAAGTCCACATAAGTTCGATGGTTTGCATCATCAAAAGCACGCATTTTAACGTCACGCCATCTACAAAATTCACAAACAGATGTTAGACTGGATAACAACATAATTCTATCTTCAAGTAGATGTTCACACCTTCCAGCTCCAAGGGTTTCAACCGCTTCCACAAGTGCTTCTACTTCTGATACAGAGAAGGGTCTCCTAGTTCTGCGTTGTGAAAGTTCATATCTCTTGGTTGGTTTTTCTCTCAAGGGGACCATTGAGAGTACCTCAGCGTCCACTGCTGGAACAAGCACAAGCGCTTTGGAATCTGCCACTCGTTCTTCTGTAGATACTTCACCTGGGAAGGTTATACTTTCTTGATTCTTCTCGTCCAAACTAGTTATTGGAGGAGGATCCAGGGGAGAATTTGAGAAGCCTACGTCGATAATAGGGCTAGAAGGGGACCTGGTAATGGCAAGATATAATTTCACAATTTGGAACTGGTTACATTTCCATTTTTGTCTAAATTTGGGAGTAAATGGATCTAAATGTGGTATTTTGATTATTGACCCTTTTGGGACTTGGCTTTTCACATGAATCAGTACCTGACGTATGTTAAAAGAAGCATAGATTGTTCATAGCTACCAAGAGAAATTCCATATACCTGGATAGTGGTTGATGAGTGCCTGGTAGCAACAACGGAGTTTCTTTCTGAACCAGAGATGGAGAAGCTTCGGGTACACTAGGCTCCAATGTAAATCCTAAAGTTTCAAGGTTGCAATTCTGGGAAATCCCAGTCTGTTGGAGTGTTATATTGTCATCTCTAACCTTCTTCCCTTCAAGAAGTACCCCTACATGTAATTTACTTTGTAGAATAGCTTTGACAGCCTCCATGACAGTCCTCTGGAATTTAAAGCACAATGAGGACTAGTACAGTTTTACCAGTCAAGAATAGGTCAAATATTTTACAGACATTTCAATTTGAAGTGCAGGATGCCATAATGATCAAGTTCCAAAATACAGTAGATCGTATGAAATTCTCAACTTATTGTAGCATTTGACAAAAAATTGAGCTTAATGGATTACATTTAAAATGATTTAGCTAATGAGAAAACTGAATGCTAATATCTGAAGAACTTCTAGATAGTGACTGGAACTTTCAGAAGAAGAGAACATTCTGTGACATACCTTCAGTGAACCTACAGTTGCAGTCTCAGGCACCTCAACATACAGTTCTGGAACTTTAAAGGACTTGATGCTAAATTTCACTGAATGAAGAAAAAACATGCATGAGAGATTTGTTAAACAAGAACTTAACATAACATGAGAGAGAGGGAGTATACCATGACTATCCTTAGATGAAAAGGGACCTTTTCGGCTGATAAATGAAGATGTCACTCCTGCTGCTGTATGATCATAATACAACTAATTAGCTACCAAGGTGAAGGAGGACTCATCAAAGAAACTTGGCTAATATTAAGGACCTCTGTTCAATGCAGCATGAGGTCGCCTCTTATCTCCACCGGCACTCTTCTCAGGGGAATTAGATATGCTTTCAGTACTTGCCTCCTGAATGTATGCAGCTTTTGAGCTATGATGAAACAGCTTCCTCTTCTTAGATGCAGCCTCTGCTTGACACCGTTCTCTCATGTATATATTTTTCCTTTTATGGTAAAAGGACCTAACTCCACCACCTAAAAGAACCAATTGCATGATCAAATAAGAAAAACATTATATAACTTGGATCTATACAAAAATATATTTAACCCAAAATCATATCTTTACTTTACTAGAATTCTCCACTTACTAGTAGTGTTTGAGAGTTCATAACCTTTCAGTTGTGGAGCTACTTTTCGGTATCTAGAAGTCAGCATCTTCCTTATTCTTCTGTATCCAGCACGTGATCGCGACCCAAATGCCCTCCGACTGGTGCTATGGTGATTGTACCTAAAATATTTTTCATCATCATCTCTAATATCTATCTTCACATTGCCCCTATGCCTTGGAAAACAAGCACTGGGAGCAGGATCCCTATAAAAGGATAGCTGTACACTACTAGTTGGTTTTTTTGGCACACGAGTATTCACATATGATTCCACTTGCTTCTTCAAGCTGTAGGTCTTAACTGCAGTCAAGCATCCACTTTGTTTCTCTATGGCCTCTGTCTTTATTTCAGCTCTATTATCACCCAAGCTAACATCACATAAATCCCCGTGACTAGGAGAGCCTCTCTCCGGCTTACCAGGAATGTCACTAACTCCATTCTTGTCTTCAGAGGCTTCCCTTCTCACATTAGTACCGACTTTTGTTACGAAATCAGAAGCGGTAACAATAGAAGCACGTTCCAAACCAGAATCATTCTCGGACTGTGGCAATTCCTGCGAATGAGGTTCTTGCTTTAGCTCTAGAGTAGTAGGTGGAGCAACAAGCTCACTCTCGGCACAGCTTCCCTGATCATGGAGCTCTGATCTTACAGGTTTGAGGTTGACTTCAAGTGGTTCATGCTTGATGCCTTCTTTAGGAATGCTAATCTGTTCTTTTCCTTCTGAACCAGTGCTAGAAGTAGAACTTTCACTCTCCTGCAATAACTTGTCAGCTACCTCGGCCAACAACTCAAATGCGCAAATTTCATCACGTTCTGATGATTTGCTATGCAAACTCCTCCTCTAAAAGAAACAAATAAAAACGTGTCAGTATATATTTACATCAGTTAGAAATGTCAATGAAGGAAAGTTAACTTTACACTCACCCTCAGGGATCTAGGAGCTTTAGGTACCACAGGAGCTAGGAAACCATGAAATCCTCCATAATTTCTTTTCTTCAACACCATATCTTAGGCATGCATGCCAATAAAAAGATCATCAACCGAATGAAGCACTGGTTGGGCCTGCTCTATTATTTATTAAAATAAAAAACTCAGCATCCTTAATATCTTTCATGATCAGTTCAGAAACCAAATCAATCCTCGAATAAACAAGGTTCTAAGAGCCAAATGATCATGAGTGCCAGCAAATGTAAATAGCCATCTCCAAAGTTGTTTATAAACTTGACATTCAATGTTGAGTGGATAAGGAAACAGCATTATTGCACTTGCAACATATCATGCAACAATTTGCACCCACCTATATGCCGGGCCGATATGATGGCACTTCTATCGATAGATAAAAGAAACCAACAAAAACTCGTTTTTCAGATACTTCCGTCCGCTTTACCGATTAAAAAGGCCATACGGCATTTGTATGCCAGCAAAAACCTTTACATCAGGAAGTTAGTGATCTAGTTTAACTCATTAACCAACAATTTTTTGCTGATTAGCCTATCTCTTTATTGTAATGCATCTTAGAAAGAACAATAATCTTCAAAGCTGTGATCTGGAATTGAACAACTAAAATAAAACCAGCAGATAATCTATAAACCTTGTTAACCCAGAAGCAAGATCTCATGATCTGCGACATAAGATCAATAATGATAAAATATGAGGACATATTCTATAAAAATTGGCTTTAGTCACCACATATGAAATCAATGCCCGGTTGGTCAAACTACCGTCAACTAAAAAATGCAAAACAAGAAAAGGAAAAATAGAACTGAAAAAACATGCAACATCAATTTAATATCTCAAAAAAAAGCTGCCCATAAATAATTTAGCAATAAAAGTTCATAAATGTCCTGAATTAAACAAAATTCGATTTCATCATGATATTTTAACGGATTTTCGCCTTAATTAGATCGTAAGATTGTTAATAGCAAAATCACATCGCAAAAAGATATAAATTTAACGCGATCAGACAAATAAGTGCAAATTGTACGAACCCGATCCGATCTCCATACTCTTGAGGGAATTCACCGAACCAAAAAAGGCGGTTTAGCTTAAACCCCACGGAGATCGGACCAAATCTCGGCCAAAAACATAAATTACACCAACAAATCATCGATTTTCAAGCGAAAATCAAGGGAACAAAATCTTGGAAGAGATTCAGAGAGAAATAACAGAGATCAGGGTCAAATTACCTGTCCGAAGAGAAATCGATTGATCCGATGGATTCGTAGGTGACACGTAACCGTACAATTCGATTTCGATAATTACCAAGAAAATTTCAAATTGAGAGCAACAGGCTGTATTAATTTGAGCGAAAATTATGTTGGGAAAAGTAATCGAACTTAAATTCAAGAAATGGAGGATTGGAATGAGATGGAGTACTCCTATTAAACCCCTCTTATATATTTAGGGGATGTGGTTTTGTAGTCTTTCACCATAGATTCCAATGATGGATATATGTTAGTTACGAGGGTAAAAGAGTAAATTTATATAGGTATATGCATATTTAGAGGAATGTGGTGTTTGAGATTGCTTATAAAAACAACTTATTAACTTATTTCAGTGTGATATTAGTAATAAATATTTTTTAGTATTTGGATAAATAACTTATACCGGTGTCAAACCGGTAATAAGGAGTTTTTGAAGAAGTTAAACATTTCTGACTTATAATAAGTTAATAAATATTTTTATAGAAAAGCATAAGTTGTTTCAAATAAACAATCTCAAACACCCCTGAAGTTTAAAATACAAAACAAACAAATCAATTTTAGTCCAACATCTAGTTTAATAAATATTTTATTTGATTTTATTTCCTAATAAAAACATGATCATAATGAATCTTTCATATCTATATTATATTAAAAATTATTTGATAAATTCTTAAAAACTATTTTTTATGCATGAAATATTGTATAACTTCAAAACCGTATGTAGAGCTTCCGCCTGATACGGCTCCTCTAAGGATGGAGGTAGGCCCAGCCCAGACTTGTGCGGTTAAGGTTGTTGAAGTCATGGCTATCCCCGATAGTCACTCCTTCACTCACTTTATTTTCTTTATTTATGTGATTATATGACACGTCTCACCAACAACCCAATCTATCCAAGCCTAGTAAAAGGAGAATCAGCTGAAAGAAGAGAGAGCCCCCTTCCCRTTGTTGTCTCTAACTAAACCACCACCAGTACACTCTTCCACTACAGATGCTGAAAACCCGATTCCTTCCCAGGCTTTTCTCTTATCCCTGACTTGCGAAGATTTATATTGATGGGATTGTGACGAGACATGATGTTCCATTATCAATCATTTCAGATAGAGACAGTCGGTTTACCTCAAAATTATGGGAAAGCTTTCAGAAAACCATGAGATCTCAAGTTCGGTTGAGTACGGCGTCTCACCCACAGACTGACGGGCAAAGTGAGCAAATGATTCAGACCCTCGAAGATATGTTGCGAGCTTGTATCATTGACTTTGGGGGTTCATGGGAGAATAATATGTCGTTGATTGATTTTGCATACAACAATAATTGTCATTTAAGTATACAAGCGGCACCTTATGAAATTTTGTATGGCAGAAAATGTCGAACGTTGTTATGTTGGAATGAGGTGGGGGGAATAGTTGGTTTGTTCAGATATTTTTCAGCTAACAACCGAAAAGATAGATCGAATTCGAGAAAGAATAAACACAGCTCATGACCGACAAAAGAGTTATTTCGATAAGCGTCAAAAGCCGATTGAATTTTTGGTGGGAGATTTTATGATGTTAAAAGTTTCACCATGGAAGGGTATTGTGCGTTTCAGGAAACTGAGTCCGATGTACATTGGGTCGTTCAGAATCAGTAAACGGGTTGGCGAAGTAGCATATCAGCTAAAGTTACCAGAAGAGCTCAAAGCTATCCATAACACTTTCCATGTTTTGATCTACGGAAGTGTTTGGTTGATCCGAATATGGCCGTACCGTTATATGAAGTTCAGATTGATGAAAAGTTGAGCTTTGTGGAAACCCCAAGAGGCCGTCACCGACTGGAAGACTATAGTATTGAGAAATAAAGAAATTAGTCTGGTGAAAGTTCAGTGACGATTTTATAAGGGTACTGAAGCTACCTAGAAACTAGAATCCGATATACGAAAGAAATATCCTCAACTGTTTGATTGATTGAATTCCGGGCTGGAATTTTTTTGAGGGGAGGATAATGTGATAATCGGGTTATGTCATTTGAAAGTTTAAGGGTTGCTTTTGATAAGTAGTGAAAGTTGAGTGGTTGTTTTGAAAAGTTGCTTTAAAAATATCATTTGGCACCACCTCACTCTTTTAAAAAGAGTTTTTGTGTTTGTGTGTCATTATTATATTCCTGTTTTGGAAAGAGTAAGAAGAAGGTTGATGAGGGTTCCTGGTTTGAACAAAAAAATTGAAGAAGAAGAAGTACTGCTTACATGATTATTATCTGATAATTGTTCTTGATTAAAGTCTTTGATCTCTTTGTGTTTACAAGGTGAGTTTTACTTTAAAAAGTATCATTTGATTCACTTTTGGTGAAGAAACCGTATGGTTTCATACTTGGGATTTTGAATATGTTGTATACTATTTTTAGCATAATTTAGTGTTTTGATATATTATTATCAACTGATTAGAATAAGGGTGACATAATCAAGAGAGGTGTATGGCATAACCAGGAGAGACGTATTTTGGGATAAGGGTAACATAATTAGGAGAGACGTATACTGGGATAAGAGTGGCAGAATTAATTGTATGTTAAAAAATGAGATTTTGATCATGTGAAAGCTGTTATCGCATCTTGACTTATCGCATCACTATGATGTGATGAGTTTGATTTATCGCATCAATATGATGCGATGAGATGCGAGAAAAGTATTTATCGCATCCTTGTGATGCGAGGAGTTGAAGTAATCGCATCAATATGATGCGAGGAAATGTATTATCGCATCTATATGATGCGTCAAGTTGAAGTTGATGAGTATGATGCGATGAAAATGTGATCGCATCAATGAGATACGACAAGTTGGTATCTTTTATGTTTAATGCGATAATTTTGGTACTTCAATGGGTTGGATGCGATAGTAATATTGTCTCATCTATACGATGCGACAAAGAGGTTTGTTTCAGTAAAACATTGTTTATTTCTTATCAATCCAAATATGGGCTATCTAAAAAATATTTTGGTGATTTTCACCCTGTAATATCAATCAAAAAGAATTTCTCACCAAATCTTATGGTTTAACCCTCATTTTTTTTAAATGTGCATTATAGGTCGGACACATATGAAAAGTAAGGGAAATGAAAAGATGTGAAGAAGTTATGATTGCTTTATATTGTGAATTTTGGGAAGTTGTTATTATGCATGTATTTGAGAACTTGTTATATCTGCAAGTCATGTAATTGGTGTAAATAAAAAATTTGAAGCTACTTTTGTATGTAGTATTTTGTATATATTTGGACCAATTTATATATGATTTTATGCAAATATGAATTTAGGGATTATTTTTATTAAAAAAACTTAGATATGTGAGATCCTACAAAAGATTTGATTAATATGGACATGAGAAACACAACTAAAAATTAATAGGATTTAAATGTGTTAAATATCGTTAAAGACATATTTTCGTTTAAATGAATGTTAATAATATAATTTAGATGTAAATTTTGTAATGATGATCAATAAATATGTAAAACTGTATAAATTTATCTATAAATATAATTTTTTGATGGGTAAAATAGACAATTTAAACAAATTCAGACATTTATTAACTTACAAAAACAATCTTATTGATTCAGATTTCAGACTTCAGTACCACCTCTTATCAATTAGAAGTGAAATAAGACTTCAGATTTCATCACCTCTTAAAAAGCAAACGCCACCTAACTTCGTCATACCACGTACTTAATTCCTAGGAGGAGCAACCACGGATGGTAGCAAATCTAATAGAGATTAAGATTTGTCCTCTGATATTTATGTTATTATTCATTAGTGGCTGCAAAATGAATTCTTATTTTGTAGTTCGTTTGTATTTTGCTAAGGTGTATCTCTCTCTCTCTCTCACACACACAGTTGTATAGATTTCTTCTAAATACAATTGTACTAAAAACCATTTTTCTTGAGCAGACAGACACTTGGATGAATTCTTTGCATAAACCTCGTTTGCTAATTGGACGAACGATGTTAAATACCATAATCACAAAGAGGTTTACTTAACATAAGTTTGTTATCTCCTTCACATTGTCATCCGCGAGATAAAGTGAACCAAATTTAAACAAAAACAACGAATTAATATGTTTATGGAAATATAACATGTAATTAAAAACTATAGCCAAAATACAACTAAAACCCTTAAGATTGAGAAGAAAAGCATAAAAACCGACAAAACCAAGCCTAAGTAATGCAAAAAGGTGCCATAGATCAACTGATTAAAATTGATTGAACTTTAATCAAATCTTTCTTGTCATGACGAAAACAAAAGGCATCACATAACTCAGATAGTAAATCTAGTATGCTTGGACAATAGTTGTAAACTGTATATAACAAAAATAGACACGAAAATAACGAGACATTTAAGAAAACGAGAAATCCATGTCCCTTTGTTCTTGTGAATTATGGCCAATACCAGGTATATAAGCAGTGATTTCAAATCCAGAGGTTAATCGTACTCTGGCAACTTTATGTAAGGCAAAGTTTGGTTTTTTTTGGGTGATAGTGGAAAAGTTGACAGATAAGTCACCTTTACTGCCACTCTACAGAACCGTACATGAGATTTTCACCTCATATGGCTCCTCGTTCAACACATTTTGGTCATTTCTAGACTGATTTATGAGATAGAGGGAAGAGTTAAATCTCATTTATATTTATGTATATTATGTAGCATTTAAAAAAGGCAATAAACGAAGTTAGATGGTTGAATGATTAATGGGCGCCAATTGTTTGAGAAATACTATTTAATTAGAGATTTAAGTTGTTTGTTAAAATATAAAAAAATATGATTTTATTACCATTATTAGATTATAAAGACTATCTTCTAATTGGTAAACTGTGGTTGATAAACAAAAGTTGAAAATATCGATTAATCCACTTGTTATTTTTAGAACACTTAAAGTCAATATTTAGTTGCTAATTGAAGTGTTAGGGAGTGCTTAAAGCATAGGTGATCATTAAGGAGTCTTACACAAACACTTAAAAGTAGTCGGCAAACTAGATGATGAGCTAGCTGGTGGCTGGTAAGTTAACTGATTAACAAATCATGTTTTGCAAAACTAGCTGATAAGAATATAAAATAATAAAAAAAAACATTTTAAAAAATTAATCAATTATAATATTTCAAAATACAATTGAAACAAATCTCTAATAATATAATATATTAACTA